TATAAATCTGGGTGCGTTTTTGGTTGGAAATCAATGAAACATGGTACTGTATTACCTGGTCTCCCCTGTTTATTGTCACAGCTCATACAATAAAGCAAACACCCATGATAAACTATGCTTTTCTATCTAACGTTAGTAATTGCTGACTCTTTATTCCAACGCTGAGCGAAGCGAACTCTCTGCTCCTCGTCACGGTGCGTCTCAGGTGATTGTTATCACTCTGCCCAAGTAGCAGTGCTTCGCCTTCAGAAAATATAGTATTTATACGGTCAAAAGATGTCTGTCTCATATGGCCTTGATATTTGCACACTCTGTGACTATACAAACCACAACATGTAAATAGGAAAACGCTTGCGTTATTTTGTCACTCATTTGGATTAGTATGAAAGCTGCAACCAGTCACATCCAGTCTTTGTGCTAAGCTAGGCTAGCGTTGGGTGCGTCAAACAGACTTATAGCACGCACGGAGATGAAAAAGGTATGTATGGACTTATCTAACTCTGGGGGGTAAGGTGAATAGGCTAAAGTCCCAAAAAGTCGGAGTGTTCCTTTAAGGTGTGCATCACACACACTGAACTTAATTTGTCATGATGTTGAGAAATGGCTAACAGCAAACGAGTCCAAAGTCATCTACAGAAGTGCTATATCAAAGTGTTCTGCACTGTGGACAAAAGCGAACCGTTCTTCTGTGGCTTCAGAGTTAGTAGATAATTTTTTCAAGAAGAAACTCATAGTGCCTACTTCAACACGATGGAATTCATTTCACGATGCCCTGTCCAGGATCACTGACATTCCAGTTGCTGAGTTAAATACTGTTTGCACTCAGTTTGGAATAAAATGCTTCAATGAGTGTGAATATCTGTTCCTAAAGGAATATTGTATTGTGTTAATGCCACTCACTGTAGCGCTAGACATATTGCAAGGAGAAGATAACTGCTATTTTGGAACCCTTCTTCCAACTCTGGAGATTTTAATGTCCAGGACGCTGGCACTGCGGGATGAGCTTAGGATGACAGCATCTCTCCCTGATGTCATTGTTCAGGTAATTTGATATTTATATAGATTGCTAGATTTTTGTTTTACCCATGGCATGGCTTAAATAATTTTTTATATTATCTGTCATAGTCTTGTATAATGTGAAGTTTCTGATGTATTATTATTTTTATTTTTCTCATAGGCTATCAAGACACGCTTTTCCTCTTTGATGGACAACAAAAAAGCTCTCCTGGCTGCAGTCACTTTGCCCAAATTTAAGTTACGCTGGATCAGAGAAGAAGAGAAAAAAGACACTGTTAGGGCAATGCTTACTACAGAGTGCCGTGGGTTGCCTGTTGAAGACCAACAGCATGATCAACATCACAACAAGCATGCTGAGTCCACTGATGACTTTTTTTCATTTGAGGAGGAGGATTGTGCCTTCTCTGCTGAAACAGAGGTCATGGAATATTTGAAATCTACAGGGTCTGACCTGGGAGTTCTTAGACAGTATCCCAGGATTAAAGCCATTTCACTGAGGTACAACACAGCCACACCATCAAGCGCACCAGTGGAAAGGCTTTTCAGCCTGGGTAATCTTGTGCTCACCCCCAGGAGGAACCGACTGTCAAGCAAACGTTTTGAGAGACTTACATTGATGAGATACAACCACTTTTTCAAAAAGGAGGCAGCACAGTCAGCTGAGCAGTAGAAATTAGTTTTTGACCGCATACAGTATGCATGAAATTTGTTGCTCGTTGCTTTGAAAAACCTAAAATCTACTGATTTTTGCAGAGTAATTATATTTTTTGTTATTCATACATGTAGCAGAGGAACATTTGTTTATAAATGTTATGAAATATGTTGCTCATTGCTTTTAAAAACTTATTTAAAGCTTGATTTTTGAAGAGTAATTCTATTTTTTGTTATTCACATGTATCAGATTTTTTTATTCAGATATGTAGCAGAAGAATTCTGATGAACTAAAGGTTACATTTGTTTCTAAAATGTTATGAAATGTTGCTCATTGCTTTGAAAAACTTAAAATATACAGCTTGATTTTTGCAGAGTAATTCTATTTTTTGTTATTCATACGTATTATTTTTTTGTTGTTATTCAGATATGTAGCAGAGGAATTCTGATGAACTAAAGGTTACATTTGTTACTAAAATGTTATGAAATGTTGCTCTTTGCTTTGAAAAACTTAAAATTTACAGCTTGATTTTGCAGAGTAATTCTGATTTTGTTATTCATATGTATTAGAATTTGTATTGTTATTCAGATATGTAGCAGAGGAATTCTGATTAACTAAAGGTTACATTGATTTGTTACTAAAATGTTATGAAATATGTTGCTCATTGCTTTAAAAAACTTAAAATTTACAGCTTAATTTTAACAAAGTAATTCTCAGAGTATTTTTTTCTCATTCATATATGTATTAGAATAATAAAAAAAAAGTTGTATTTCAGATATAGCAGAGGAATTCTGCTAAAGGTTACATTTGTTGCTAAAATGTTTAAGTTATGATGTCTTAATAAAGCTAAAATGCTTTAAAAGTATTATCTATTCCATGTTTGACTCATATTTAATTATTAAAATAGTTTAATTTCTATTTTCTATCCGGCCTTGGTTTATAGGTATTTTAAGAAGTAATTTGTTTAATTACTTGTTGAGTAATTAAGTTACTTTTCAGACAGAGTAATTTAAAAGTATTTTAAATACAATATTGATGATGTAATTAGTAATTTGTAATTAATTACTTATTTGAAGTAACTTACCCAACACTGTGTGCGTGTGTGTGTTTCAGAAAACCCCTGGGGGTGGGTTTGATTCGCCTGGCCAAAATCCTTACAACTATATGAGTGCAGATTATAACCTGCAACTTCTGACACGCTTGGCAAAAGATCTAGCACTAGAGCATTTAAGAACTCAAACAAAATATGCAGATTGATGGATTCATTTACGGGTTGAGCAGAGAGGCTGCACAGTTTGACCAGCGGGCAGCGGCTGCACACCAGTCCGCCGGATGCTGTTGCTAAGAACTTACAATTTATCACTATTATTAGACCAGCCCTCACAGCCTCGAAACACTACGAGTCTCCCGATTGCCACTCCGCCCCTGCATGCTATTACAAAATATAATATGGTGGGCCGTTATCGGCGTTAACTTGCTGCGTTAAAGTGAGACTCTTATTGAGCGATAAAAAAATATTGCCGTTAATCTATTCTCAAACTTGGGTTGGGAGCTGGGTCCATACTATACAAGCTATGATGACTTTTACATTGATATTTTAGCCCAGAAGTATACCTAGCCGAATTGCACTGTAAGGGGCATTTAATACCAATCTGTTTATCCAGACATTAGGAAAAGATCAGTCAATGCATTTTATATTTAATATGAGCGGACGTGACACAAAAAAAACAAACCTTTAGGTGTACAAAAAGTAATACCCATCGGTTAAAGAAAGGTTGGCTCTCCACGGAACATAAAATATTAATTTTGTATTATTTTTTATGTACGCATTTATGAGGGAAAAACGATGTTATGTGACAGTTCCCCGTTACGGACTTGACCACTCTGAAAGCGGCACTGAAAGACTGCTTTAAAACTTTCACATTAAACATAAAGCACAAAGCCTTTCACAAAAATTTCGTTTTTTATTAATTGTATGTTAATTTTAATCAATGTTTCATCAACCAGTTGCCTGGATTTAATAAATAAGAAATAAATATAGCAGACAATAGATAATCACGACACAGAGGCGTCAGCGAGTGAACTGAAGCTTGTCTTGTGAGTCATAAATGAACCGAAACACAGTGGATAAGGCAGGCCAACTTGCCTCAGGAGTGCAGTGGGTGCCATGAGGTGCGACTGTATAATGTAGAGAATAATTACGAAAATGGAGAGAAAATATAAATCGGGCGCATTAAAAGGAAAAGAACGAGATAGTCTTTGTGTTTTATTAACATAGGCTTACTTGGCTCAACAAGTGACACTTTATTACATATGGTAGCAGAGAGCCCCATGATGAAGAGTCTAGCCCCGCCTCTGCTCATCTTACAAACTACCTGTAAGGTTATTTTTTTGGGTAGCATACATATTCTGAATGCCTTCAATGCCTGAATGCCTTCATGAATTCAAATGAGCCATTTTAATCTAGATTAATTCCAAGATTACCGTGAGATCAATCTAGATTAAAAAAAAAAAATCTATGCCCACCACTAAGGCATAAAAAAAAAATGTTCAATTCCAGTCTCCGACCTACCCTGTCAATTTATGTGCGACCCAAATTTATTTTATGAGCTTGGGGAAGAAATAATACACATTTAAAATCAGCTTGTGTGTGTAACATGCTGGGACACACAAGGTGGTAGTACATGTACAAGTAGGCTATGTTATTGAAAAACAGAGTCGCCTATCCATTGCTACTGTAAAGTAAAATGTAAAAAAAAATTAAAAATAATTTCCTTTCTATCCCTTGCTGGCACTGGAGAAAAAACAAAAAAAAAACTACCAACCCATGACCTCAACTGACATCCAACCAACTTTTTTTTTAAAATGTTATGCCTAATATATATATATATATATATATATATGAATCTTTTTTTTGGAATTCTATTAATCGATTTTCAATCGGTAAAGCTTGAATTGCGATACAAATGTGAATCAATTTTTGTGCACACCCCTAATATTAAGTGTCCCCAATTAAGAAAGACAGAGGCAACACTGGCAAGAACTTAAACTCAATCAGGTGACATAAATAGAGAAAATATCCTATAGATATAACAGCTTTACACAAATATTTTTTCAAACATGCTTCATTTTGTCTTGGAAATTTGTCACTGTATAAAAAACACTATTGTTGAGGAAATTGTAGTTTTTAAAGGTAAATGTTAGTTTAACTCAGCCTCTTTGCTGTATATGCTGTTTATGTAAAAAATAAGTGGAAAATTTCATTAATATTAGTTTATAGAAAATGTATTGTATGTGTTCAATCTAATTCTGTGTTGTGACTTTATTGTAGGTTAAATGATTGTAACTTAACAGACAAAAGCTGTTCATCTCTGGCTGCAGTTCTTGGATCAGACACCAATCTGAAAGAGCTGAACATGAACAATAATAATCTGCGGGATTCAGGAGTGAAGCTGCTCTGCACTGGACTGAAGAATATAAAGTGTAAATTGGAGATACTGAGGTAAGTTGAGCCACAGGAGTCACATGACTAGAGTGAGGTGCGATGACTGACAGGACGATGCCGGAGGCAAAAGCTCAAGATAACTTTTGTGAAAAAGATCTTTTATTTATTTACAACGTTACAACGTGGGTATACCATATTAATCCTGTCATTGTGCTATTTTATTGTTGTTGTGTATAAAGGATTATTATGCTCTTAGGGCTAATTAATAACTGGTGGCAACCACCAAAGATTGTCAGATCAGAACAGTAAAGGATGCCCGTTTAGGAGGAGCCAGATGCACACACCACTCACAGACCTCCAGGGCTGGATAAACCATTAGGGCAACTGGGCTCTTGCCTCAGGGGCCCATGACATCTAAGGGGCCCTGGGCACCAGGGGCGGAGTGGCAATCGGGAGAGTCGGGAGTTTCCCCTGTGGGCCGGTTGTGTCTCGAGGCCGCGAGGGCCGATCTGATCAAATTTATTTATTGCAAGTTGGCCATGCGCACTTGGGGCCCAAGCGAGGGGAAGAATTTTTTTTTTTTTTACTTTTTAGATAACGGACCGTATATTTGCACTAAGTGCCTGTCTTTTTAGCAAAAGAAGCTTGTCACGAAATAGCTACGGTGGCGCAGGTCGTAGGGCTTGAAGCTTTTGATGCTCTTGACCCGAGTTCGAAACCGCCTTTTTCTGAACTCTCTCTTCTCCCTTTTCCCAACACATATGAGATGTAAAATGTATACCCTAACATAAAGGTCTCTAGCGCTATATTTTGCCAACAAACTAAAATCGAAACCATGATATGGCTTTGTGCCTTTATAAAACAGCACAACACTTTAAAGGGTTAGTTCACCCAAAAATGAAAATTAAGTCATTAATTACTCACCCCCATCCTGTACCAACCCCGTAAGACCTTCGTTCATCTTCGGAACACAAATGAAGATATTTTTGATTAAATCTGAGAGCTGGATCAGTCGTACATAGACTGGACTGGCTCTTGACGGCCCTTAAAGTCATTAAAGAAAAGGTTTAAATATTCCATGTGCCTACAGCGGCTCAATTATAAGTTTATCAAGCGACGAGACTACTTTTTCTGCGAAAAAAACATAAATAACGACTTTATTCGACTATTCCATTACTACCTTATGGGCACATGCGCGAGAACTGAGACGAGGACGTTCTCCTTCGACTACTTCTTGTTACCGGCTGCTCACGCCCCCACCAGGGGAGAAAAACAATCCAACCGTCTCCATTGATTTGCATTGCGAGAGACTGCCTCCTTGTCATTTATGACTTATAACAAAAAACAAAACAATGTTTAAAAGCTGTTGTGAGACAAGGAGTACAGCAAACAAGCCAAATAACCCTGAAATTGTTTTTTTTTAAGCTGATGGCTACTACTCTGAGAAGCACGTCCATAATTCATAATTTAACCTGAATCTATTTTATCTGAAATTCTGTACGTTGATTTATTTTATTTTTTTGTATCTGAATTTGTGAGCATTGAAAAATATTTATCGAAATTCAGGTTTTTAAAATGGAAATTTTCATAGGCCTGTTTAAAGGTGCAGTGCGGGATTTTTAGCGACATCTAGCGGTTTGGTTGCGAGTTTGCACCAGGTTTGCACTAAGGGCTTAGCCCACTGCTCACCCCTCGCTTTCGAAGAAGCCATTGTTTCTGTACCACAGTCCATTATAAACCACATCATGGATACAGTTTACAAAGCCATAGTCAGGTGAGGATCAAGGGTTTTGATATATAATAATAATAGTGATCAGCAGATTGTCTCACAAACGTAACCAGCAGCACATTTCTCCCCACATAGCAAACCCATAATACAGCGAGGGAGAAGAACCACATGAAACTATGCAACTTTATATTTTTTCTAACAGGGTAGTAAAAGTTTAGCTGGCTAATATGAGCTGTTACTGTGGCTGAACTGGTTAAAGCATAAAGCCTTGTTTAAACTCGACGCGTCCGCATGAGCCCAAAGGTGCGCGCGGCAAAAAATGACATGATTGTAACAGCGTGCGCATTTCCGCATCCCATAGACACCATAAACTACACACAATAGGCTTTTTCTCTGATTTTGAAAACTCTTCGCGATCGACTTAGATCTCTTACAAGATCGACGGGTTAGTGATTCCTCTAACATACTGTTTTACGATCAATGACATGAGTACTAATCAGCTGTACATAACAGCCGAACATAACAGCACATTTATCCCCACATAACAAACCCATAACACAGCGAGGGAGAACTAAGTTACATGAAACAATCCCAACTACATATTTTACACTACTCACAAGGGAAAAGTGATTACTCACAGAGTTTATGGCTAGTTTCTAGCTTTCTGCTGCTTCTCTTTCAAGGTAGTGGCGAAACACGTTCTGTAGCACTGTGTGTTCGCGTTCGGCTACGGTAGAAAGATGACGTCATGATATGGCGACCTTCATAGAAGGGGATTCCCGAGGTTATGGAGATATAAATGTCTCTCTCTAAGGTAATAAAATTATTACGGTTTATTAGGTAAGTTCTTTATACACCACTGAACACATAGTTATGGATGTCATATTGCATTTCTGTTACAGTTTTTCTCAATTGTTTACACACAAATTCTGGTACTTGAGACACAATGACCACAACATGTAACTCATTCACCAACCCCCTGAACCAATTCTGATGAACTACAAGCACAATTCCTGCTTTACACTCAAATTGCAGCTCTAAAACACACTTTTTTCAAAACACTACACACATTCTCTGCATTTGGCATAATTTTCATGCAGAAAATCTCTTCTTTTCACGAGGAACACACTACCATTCAAATATTCACACTGACTCGTCACATGGACAAACACACGTCACACAGTTCTACAATTAGCAATCAGAGCTTTAGCATAAAATACCAAAACCGAAGAGAGGATGCAGCATAGATTTTTACTGTAACAGCATACACATATTTTTCTGTTGTTTTGTATGTAGACCACTGTATGTGCAACTTTGTGTTGATTGGGGTGTATGAAATGTGCGATCTATTTCCCATTGTTTTTGTGGGAAAAATACAGTAAAATATATTTGTTACCGTGTATTTGTGTGTTCTGGGTATAAAAACAATATTCTCAAATATTTTACAACACACTTATGTATGTAATGTCTGTAGTAAGTGTAACCCTGAACAAAAAAGGCCCAATTCATTATGATGAATGAAGAAGAAGTGTTTTCCATTGATCATAGTGTTTTACATTGAGCACATCAGTGTTCAACTAGTTCTTATAAATGTCTATTCATATAATGGTTTGTGTGTGTCATTTGAAAACAAAATAACATTTTGAGAATATATAACATTGTTTTGAATGTAAAGTTTCATTTTGCACTAGAATTGAGGGGTTTTGCCGATTGTGTGTGTGTTTTTAGATTTGTGTGTAGAGTTCTGAGAGTATGAGGCATACTTGCAGGAAATGTGTGTAAACAATCGAGAAAAACTGTAATAGATACTCAACTTTTTGACATTGCACCTTTAAATTTCAGAGGTAAATTCGAAACAAATAAATTCAGACGCATGGTTTTCAAAGTAAAATAATTTATAAGGGGTGAATTTCGAGCAAATAAATTCAGACAAATATTTTTCAAAATAAAATTAAATACAAAACTAGTATTCAAAACTAGTAAAAGTATTCAGTGGCTGTTAAATTTCAAATAGTTATGTCTCTCATTTGCTTCCATACTTTTACAATACTGTATGACAATCGCGGGATAAGAGGCAAAGATAATCGTTCTTGTGTGTGTGTGTGTGTGTGAGAGAGAGAGAGAGTGAGAGAGAGAGAGAGTGTGTGTGTTAGTGTGAGAGAGTGTGTTAGTGTGTGTGTGAGAGAGAGAGAGAGAGATGAGAGTGTGTTAGTGTGTGTGTGTGAGAGAGAGAGAGAGAGAGAGAGAGAGAGAGACTGTTTTTGACACTTAAAGCAATTTATTCCATCATTAAAGTTTAAAAAAATAAATAAATTTAGTATTCCGTCATAGTGACTATAACAAACAATTCACTCTGTCTCAGTGTATTACAGTTGTTTCTCCCGCATATGATGAGTTGGTGGAAGTGATTACTAGAGCGGTTGAAAAATTACATATTGATTGGCCAGCTGTAAGAGAGGACGCGCGTCCTAAAAGCAAACTCGACGAGCGTTTTCTTTCATCTAGTGTTTCACTTCCACCACGAGGCCTTCCATTCTTTCCCGATTTACATAATGAGATATCAAGAACATGGAATAAGCCGTACTCTGCACGTATTTTCAGCCCTCAAGTTCATATTTATTCGGGTATAAGGGGGCTGAAAGAGTACGGCTATGAGGCGATGCCCCGGGCTGAACAGGTTCGGTCACCCGGTTCGGTATCGTCTCTGAAGGCCTCAGCTTTACCCACTAAACCATTAAAAACAACATCTACGTTAGTGGGCAAAGCTTATACGGCAGCAGGTCAGGCTGGTGCATGCCTCCATACTATGGCTGTATTACAGGCATACCAGGCTGAGCTGCTGGGGGATTTGGATAAAAGTGAGGAAGTTGGACCCGATGAAATTCGAGAACTTCGTCGGGCCACAGATTTGTCTCTCAGGGCTACTAAGGAGACCGCTAGAGCAATTGGGCGGTCTATGGCAGCCCTGGTGGCCACTGAGAGACATCTGTGGTTGAATTTGATTGATTTAAAGGACCGAGATCGTTCCTTCCTTTTAGATGCCCCGGTTAATCCTGATGGTCTCTTCGGCGACGCTGTTGATGAGGTCGTCGAGAGATTTCAGGAAGCTAAAAAACAGTCCGAGGCATTTAAAAAATTTCTCCCTCGCCGTGTCCAACCCCCTGGGGCTGCTGGGCGTGAGCAGCCCCAGCCGTCAAGCTCATCATATCGTGCGCAACAAAAAGAGAGTGTTGCGTCTCGTGCACCTCCACAAAAACACTGGAGGCAGACGAAACACTGTCAGCCAAAGCCTTCGAAGTCGAAGCCGGATCTGAGGACCGTTCTTCCGGCTAAGAAGGCTTCGGCGCAAAAGAAAAGGTCCTGACGCCACGGGTGTCAG